TGTCGGCTGACCTGGATACATTGCCAACTTGTCACTATTGACTGTAAACCATCTCACGGTTTACTTTCTGTTTTGGTATTTGGAGTATGCATAATTGCATTGTATTTTATGATGGTCAGCCAACAAGAGAAAGCACATAAAATTTTGAAGGCATAACCTCCTAATTGTAACAAGTAAGTAACTAGTTATTCAAAAACAGATGTTTTCATCAATTATGTTGGTACAATTAAATTATAAATCATCACTTGTAAACTTAAAGCATCAATGTACCCTATTAAGAACACAAAGACGCCAAAAGCCATTTCCTCACAACACTCGACAGCATCATAAAGATAGGATAAATATCTGCATAACAAGATGTGTTGCACCTTGTAAGTGCTTGGATAAGTGAAGTAAAAACTTGTAACACTATGGCGGGAACGAGAACTGTAGCTGGCCATAAAGTTTCAATAGTTACCATAGACAGGCTGTAATGGCGGGAACGCGGCTGAACACCGCACGTGGACGGTGCAGCGATTGCATTGTTTAGTTAGCATCGTTTAATGGACACTACATAATGGTCTATTAAATGGTGCTCGTATGTTCTGATTGTGCTATCATGGATTGTTTTGTGATTAGCCTTTGATACGGCTAAATGTTTTTTGTTATGCAAATACAGGGTGAGCCCGGGGTAGATTGAACAAAACAAATAATAGATGAAAGGAGATATTATGCTTTCTCACTAAATAAACTGTTAAATTGATTGGATTTGATTTAACTCAAAATAATTATCCACTTGTCAAAGATTCCATACAAAAAATGCAAAGTGATTTTATTGTATGCATTTTAACTACCTTTTTTCTTCAACCACTGGAGTGCAAAAAGGCAGGTAAAACGTTATAGGCACGAAGATGGAACCCCAGATTGAAATCGATCATCCTCGTCACAGGTGATTCCCTTGTAAAATCCAACAGTAAAAGTATAATTTTTTATTACTCTTAATTTATATGACTTAGTTCAAATACCTAAATCGTTTCAAACAAACCATTACAAAGCAGTTACATTAGAATTTCAGATCCCTTCAGCTTAATGAATGCTAAAACAACATGCATTTAATAAGTACGACAATGACTAATCATTAAAATTGCATGAGGTGTCGACGACAATGGATCGTAGAGCTTAAACGATTAAAGCTAAGCCGACGTCAAACGTAATTGAAAATAACGAGATGCATATTCATGCAATGCACAGTACATAGGTAGTAAGTAATCCGTCTGTCTGTCGCTCGCTTGCTGCATGTGCGCCTAATTCTATTTCTGCTATCCAGTCTGTCGACAGGGGTTTCATAATTGCTTTTAAATTAACCTCCCATTCGACAACCAACATTTATGCATTCACAGATAAATCATGCGGTTTTATGTTTGACGTACGTGACATGAAATTACTCGATAGAAGCAGCCATGCTAATTTCCTAATTAGCATTTACCACGCTTTGCCCTGTGCAACACTTCCATACGCCAGTAGGTAACTAGGTAGTTAGTTACACGAATTTAATTTTCTTTTACATAATATCAATTACATTTTTAATTAACCTCTCTCATTCCGATCACGTAAGCTTACCGTGTTTTGTCTAAGCCGCACCTGCCCGCGGGACACATATCAACACCCCCACAGATTAAAAACTGCTACCCAACCGCCCATGAAATTAAATTTATTTAGGGCCCACTCCATATCATCCCGCGTGTCAACTGTATTTACATAAAGAATAGTTTCGAGAAGGACGTGAGCCCATATTTATATTGCGCCGTCGCTGGCTGTTTATTGAAATATTTCATTGTTAATTCTCTAAACGACGTCTTCGTTTTGGGGGACGAGATCCGAATGGCGCGGGCTGAATGCAGCATTAATAGTATTTATTAAAATAACAACGTCTATTCCGGACTGTTTTTATTTATTCTATTGTAGTTTCTACATATACCTACCTGAATGGTGAAAGAAAAATGTTATCTCTAAGATGGCCGGATGGGAAGCATAAGCTTGGGACTGCTGCGATTTACACGTAGGCAGTAGAATGGTCGTATTACTGATAATATTAGTATATTTCTAAAAATCGAGGGTCCTTTAAAAGATAAGAAGACCGGAAATGTAAAAAAAACGTCATTTGAATTTGTGTCCTTCAGCTGTAAGTGTTAAAAACTGGCAGTACCAGTGGTTTGCAATGAAATGATCGATGTAGTCGTGTACTGAGGTTAAGGTGTAGATGGAATCCTACACTGCACCTAAGTATCGAATTACGCAAGATTTTTTGTTATGCCCACCACAGCTCTAGCCATGTAACCCGAGCCGATGATACAAGATATTTTTTCTCCATCTTGTCGTCGGATGCAGGAATTTAATACTACGTAAGTAGTTACCTACACATTTTTCTAGTAAATCAATCAATGTATAAACAGCTAAGTTATAGAAACGCTAGGAGAGACTTGTTACGTGATGCAATTTAGCAAAAATGCTGTGGTTACAGAAATGATCATTGCCGTAGTAATAAGTTTCAACTGTTCTGATTTATTTTGCTTTGCTTATATCATCATAACTATCACCGCAAAATTGATTTTGTTCTGTATTTCAAACCAAACTTACGAGTACGTCAGCATTATAAGTAACGAGTAGCGAGCGAGTTATCTGGCCGGTATCAAGCAAGGAAATATTATAGGTTTGCGCCTACGTTCCTGGCTGCGGGACTGTTCGAGGAACAATGCAAGGCCACTTTCTTTGAAAATAAAATAATGGTACAGTTTGGAAGCATTGTGCAATGTGCAAACAAAAAGCAGTTGTTTTGAGTATCTGCTCTAATAATAATTTATAGTAATGGCAACATGCTTTTTATCGTGCTTTTTTCAGTCACATGACTATAATACCTTTTGCCACGACGGTCGTAAAACCTAAGATAAAAGGTTGTATAACGCTGAGCGGACAAGACTTGGTTGTTTGTTGGTTCGTAAGTTCTACAGAATTCTGATGGACGATAACAGGTGACCATAAACTATCCTGTCGTTCAATACCGCCTTGGCGCGCCAAAGGCGTTGGAGATTATCAAGTAGCAACGGATACTGCCATTATTAATAGAATATAGTATTGTTTATGCTATTAAATAATTAATTTTAATTAGGTAACTGTTCTAGTATCGATATTAATTATTGAAATCAAACCTAATCAATTGAGTACCTATATCTGAACAAAATATATTGTCGGAATATCAGTCTTTTGACATCCCGGCTTGTTACTCATTCTTGTTTTTAATTCCAAACATTTTTAGGGTTGGGTTTATTGACTTATTCTATGGAATGACCATAAATTACTTGTACGTAAGTACCATGTACCCGTAGCTGCGATCAAATAGCCCGATACGAGGTCTGTAAGCACCATGGAAGCTTTACCAGATAACGCGTTAAAGATACGTGATATGTTAATTTTTACATTACAATCGTTGGCAATAAATTAAGTGCCGTAAAGCACAAAGGGAACAGAAAACTTCAAAATTATCTCCAATTATTTGTTCTTCGTAAGGAAATTTTAAATTTAAATAAGTTTATAATTACTTACTGCTCAATTTCGAGAAAAATATTACAACTATCGTCAAGTTAAGTGCCCTATTTATCACGTAAGGAGAGCGATGGACCCGTTGCGTCCTTAATATTGTTTATTATTATTCTAATTTTTAAACAAGAACAACAGGCAGATGGTTTCGTCGTTGACAAAGATGGATTGCAGTCTATGGCCGAGGCAGGTTCATACAATAGGGCGGGACAAAAACTCGCTCAATGCAAGAAGCGTCACATCTCTAAGCTTATTACCTACCTGCTATGCGCACGGGCCCTTTCAAAAATGTCACTTTAGCTTACCTCGAAGTCACAATTGACAAGTACACTGGCATTAGTTGTGACGTTTGTTTAATTAAAATCTTGAGGATTAAAATCCACGACGTCGACTTAGAACAATGTGCCCGCAGGATTAACTATTACAAACAATGTTTTTACTTTGCCGACTGTTAAGGACAACGAAGGTTCCGTTACTCTTTAAATTGTATTTACTGTTAATTCTTTAATTCCTTATCTATGCCCGTTAGTCCAAAAAAAAGATTAGAACCTAACCTAACTGCAATTTATATTATTATGAATTACAGAAATATTAAACTTGTTTATTTATTATCTATGGTAATCGTCGTTTCATTATAGAGAGAAACTGTTCAAATAGGTAGATAGAAAGATCATGGTGTAGTTTTATTACTTGCGTTTTCATCTAAGAAAATTAGTAAAATTACCAATAACTAGATATAAAATATTATATATAGGTACCTACTTACGTACTTAGCTACCTAATTATTAGTGTAATCGTGTTTGTTTAGGTACTTACTTACTTACTCATGTAGGTATAGCAAGGGTTTTGAGATCGAAAAACTACCAAACGTACCTAGGTAATCAAAACAATTCATTACGCAGTCAGATGCATGGTTGACAATTGTTATGAATTATAACGTCATAATACCTAATCACGTAACCGATATTTTGTATATTGTGACAATAACAGACAGACATACAGAGTTTACGACATGCATTCATATATCAAAACATGATAAGATTGGCACTAAGACCAATAGAATACCTACTGTAACACTATATTGAGCTAATAATTCATTTGAATCGTTGATCGGTGTTATCCAGCCAACTAATTTATCACAGATAGATATACAACATAACCTTCACGCGATAACGAATTACCTATCGTTGGTAGCCAGTTTATTTTGATTTATGTTGTTCTAAAAGTAGGTTTATAGTTTGTTTTCGTTAATCTAGTTAAACAAATTACGTTTACATGATCGTAGCTATCTATTTTAAAACGTGAACTATTTTAGAAGCGTGGCACCGAGCGGCTTATCACTCCCGATTATCGATATCCGCGATACAACTTGCAACAATGTGCAGCTGATGATACACGGGGGCAATGTACAATGGAACTGAACTTACCCAATAACCTCCACACTTCGGCGCTACTCAGGTAAACATTGAGGTGTGCCAGGCACGCAGGCAATAGTAAGACGAACACAAAACACCTCATATTGGCCCAACTCTGAACCACCACAATCGTCTCAAAGTACCAACTCCAAGTCCAGCACCACGTAAAGTTCACAAACACACATTTGTTTCACATTTTCATCCACCGTCCCAACAGAATCAACGATGCTGAGTTCTCGCCGATACAAGATTACACACTCGAATAAAACGTACAAATCCAACAGAAAAACTAAATAAACTCGCGAATTAACACGTAAATCTACGAAACTCTTTGATTTTATTCATGAATAGACGTTTTGATTTCTGTTTCTTATCAAAATGTGTTTATAAACATTGATATTATCAATGTTACTTCACGAAACAAAGCGACACTACCACCGCGCGCCACGGTTCCTGTCAAACTGGTTGTTTGTGTTGCACCGACTCACCGCGTGCGTAGCGTTGCTGTTGTATGTGTGCGTTTGTGAACGAATATTTTTGTTTGAGTGGGAGAAGAGATGATGACTGAGCAGAGGCCACAAACTTTTTACTGTTAGTTACTTGCGGTGTTCACTAGATGGCGACATTGTAACGGTGAAACTTTAAACTGTAAGTATGTACTTTTTTTAGTTTTAGCTAGTTTTTTATTATAAATGCTAATTCATATATTTTAATATTAACTTATATTGAAGGAATACTGTATTTAAGTAGTTAGGTACTTAAGTAATAAAAAAATGTATTTTGAAAATGTAAATAGTAACCTACCTACTAACCTAATTATGACCTAATGTCTACGTTTTATCCATTTTTTGTAAGAAAAAACAATAAAAAACACCCTTCAGTTGGGTAACAAGTCACGATCGAATAATTTGAGTAAGAAAACTTTTAAAATAAAATTATAATGTTTAGAATAAAATTTGAGCATGCGATACCTATATTTTGTAAGATAGGTACATAACATAACACTGAAGTGTTAGCAAGTAAAAAAGTACCGATACAAACTCGATACTAATTACGAGTAACGAGTGAGATTGGTACTTAGTAGTGCTAACGATGTCTGTGTAAGTGTGTAGGTACAATATGTAGTGTAGGACCACCCACAGGCAGCCACCGTCTCATAATGAGAAGCTCATTGTGACTAACAGGCGTGTAAACAACTCGATATCGAATCACGAACGAGTTACGATCGATGGGGTGTGAAACTTGTGAAAGTCGCTGCACTTGCCACTTGCCTCACTGGCGTGAAATGAAGGCGTCGGAAAGCGTTCCTTAAACGATTCTCTGATAGCTATAGTAGATATAGTATATATTTTTTTAATTAAAGACGTATTTTTATGGGATTTCGTGAAGATGTCAATAAAGGCTATTGTTCAAACTTTAATGTCTCTCACTTACCTATATTTTATCGAAAAATTGCATTTAATTTGAATCACGTTTGTTTTTTTCTCGATGTGGATATAAAGTTCCGTAGTTAACTTTGAAAGGTAATTTGTAAACTAATGAAGATTATTTAGTTAAGTTTCTAACAAAATAAATTATTCTAAATCTCTTCACAAACAAAGGTGAAGTCGAAAAACCAACCCAACAAATATCACGAATACCTAAAGACAGTTGTTAATGTTCATTAGTCCATTACACAGATATAAGAACTGATTGTTTGCTAACATAGTAACTATGACATGATATGTACCTGGATAATAATTATGGCACATAACTTTAACAAGATCGGTGCGCGGTGAAACAAGGCTCTTGTTTGTTTCTCCCCGCAATTTTGTTCGAAATTACAGACCCCGCTCACCGCCCCGCGCAGTTTCTGACACGCCTCTCACGAGTCGCTAACTAGGGCTACCTACCATCCAGATACATTTTTTATGCAAACATCAGCATGAACTTAGTCTGGTTTATTAACGTAGGTATTTATTTTTGCAGGTGCCTAAACATTTACATAATTTAATTAATTTATAACGACAGATTACCTACTAAGGTAACTACGAAATAATGTCTCTTTTCTAAAAACCTAAAAGTTAATAAAAAGTTAGGTACTTTTATTGTATATTTTTACCTAAAAGTCCATCCATTTGATGCTTGATAATTTCAAATAGGTATAAAATTACTCTTCGTCGCAAGGATTGAACCAGAACCACTCAATAAAGTCGGGGCAATCGAGTTTGTTAGACGAAGAACAAAGTACCTAACATATTTTTTAATGCGTCGTGTATGTATGTGGTTATTTTATATCTTTATGAAAGCCAAACTCCTGAACTTTGAAACAAATCGATAACAAACTTTTTGAATCATAAGCTAATCACCCCTAATCACAAACAATATTAAAACTCGATAATTGCCTATCTTTTTTTTTGCGGGGGTAAAATCATCCAAGACTCCTCCCGCCCGGGTGAGGCGGGAGGGAGTGTCAAACTCTTACTGGCTAAAAACCACCCCGTTCCTTCTTCTGCACGTCCAGCCGGAGCCTCGGTAACCCGTTAGGTTCTCCGCTACTTCGTAAAATAATGAATTTTGTACTATCGTAAAAAAAATATATGCTACTGCCATCTATGATTGAAACCAATAAACAAGGTCAGAAATCAGCTTTGTAAGTATTTACACATACACAAACTAGGTGGCGCTGTTGTGATATGATATTGAAAATAAAATATTTTTTCGTTAAATACTCTAATTCGTCAACGATTCGTTATGCTATGTATTATTTTAATCTATAATTTACTTCAAAAATAACAAAAAGTTAATGCTTGAATTTAAAAAGCAGTTAGCAATGCACTATTTCGTCACCAGTTATCACATCTTCGGTAGTATAGTGGTCAGTATCCCCGCCTGTCACGCGGGAGACCGGGGTTCGATTCCCCGCCGGAGAGAACCTTTTTGAAGTTTTTTATTCTACTTCTACATTTCTTTGCTACATTTTTCCAAGTTTTTTTCCAAAAGATGGTAATAATTACTTGTGTAATTTTTTTCTTCAAATTTATACCTGATACAAACATCAACACGGCGTTTTATCAAAGTAGCACATAGAGACGATAAACGCCAATAGTTTTGAAACGGTTGCCGTAACCGAAACTGGCATGGAGGAGGATTGATTGACATAGGAACAAAATACTGCCTTACAAACCGACAATCTGCTTGCAACACTCCTAGTGTCGCGGGTGTCCATGGCTGGCGCCGATTGCCTACCATCCGTTGCTCTAGTATGCTAATTTGCCCCAAGCTACGCGATTAAAAAATTAAGTGACACTGGGTGATTATTTTTATATTGCTGTCTACAACTCTTTCAGCATTATCAGCCACTTGAGGACTATAATTGACTTGAATCAAATTCAAATAAAAAAACAATGTAATGGAGTGGAATACCCTACTCTTCCCTCCTTTGTTCCCATCCAGCAACTATACTTGTTTATATAAAAGTGTCTAACTACTAGGAAATAAGGTCTATAATGGAGTGGGTGAGACAGGACACCATTGTCCTTTAGGCAATTTTTTTTTTTTTGTAATAGGAGGCAAACGAGCAGACGGATTACCTGATGGTATGCGATAAGCGCCACCACCCGCAACACCAGAGGAGTCACAGGTGCGTTGCCGGCGTTTTAAGAAGAAATACACTCTTTTCTTGAAGATTTCAAAGTCGGCCGTGAAATACCGCCGACGACAGATTTAGACGCCGATGCTGTGTCATGAGCTCGCGAGAGCCGGCTAAGGAACTTTTGACACTTCTCTTTGATATACCTGAACCTTGTAAACGGCGTAAAACGTGGAGACGAATGACAAGACCTGTTTGCAGGAGACCCTATAGTCCAGCAGAAGACTGTTGATGGTAATGATAATTATACTACTGATAATATAAGGCGATGGTGATGGTCCTAAAGATGTAGTGGTAGCTTGCAGGCCTGCAGCATGAGCTGCTGCCGCGCTGCCGTTGGTAGGTTTTGAGGGTTCAAAACCTACCAACGGCAGCGCCTACCAATGTGACTTTTTTCGAATATATACTTTCTACTTACTCTTGAAACCAATCTCAATGTCAATGCAATTTTAATCCAATAAGATCTCAATAACAATTCAATGTCAAAACTAAACCCCTGCCGTAGCTGTTGAAATAGAGTATCGAAGTAGGTAAAGAGTACGGAATATATCATATTATCTATACCATTTAGTTCATTCAATATCCACGCAATACGGATGCAATTGGCGCTAGTGTTGCAATTCAAGAGTACAAAATTTCACAATAACAATGTCGATCGATCGGAATTGGATTCAAGAGTAAGCCCCCTGGGCTTATCATTTATAATGATAAGTTTGAAATCGCCAACCCATATTGAGCAAGCGTGGTGATAAATGCTCAAACCTTCTCCGTGTGAGAAGAGGCCTAGCACAGCAGTGGGCATTATAGGCTGTTGATGTGAATATAAATATAAGAAGATACCTAATTAGTTAATCGCTTCGGAAAACATACCTGACCCAACACAGGTTCTTTTTAATTTTCGTGGTAATTCGTTGCTGATTATATTCTTATCTATCTATGTAACACGCGATGGTAGGTAATATCGCGACTCTCTAATCGTCATGACCCTGAAATCAGTGGCGTCTGAATTTTTCACTGTCTCTGCCCTAGACAGTCTTATAAATAATTTTATCAGAGTTTACTGACATACTTACGTATTATATAATTTTTGTGTTCACTTGTATGGCTAACGCGTGCCTATCATTAACTACAATCGTGAAAAACACACATTTATATTTTATCGATAAGATTATTTTGTTTTTGACAACTATTAATTCATTATTCTCTCTTGATTGTTCTCATGTTCAGTAGTTAAGTACCTACTAAGTTATTTTAGTAACTTACTGATATGATTTCTGTTTCAAGGTCGATTTTAGTAGTATTAAGGTGTCGTGTCGGAAGTCTATTTGCAAATAAATACAAGACGGCAGTTGATTAGATTATTTTCTCCATTTTGCCCAATTCGGGGATCGGACCCAGGACCTAAGCGGTTAAGATAGACTTTTAAATCAACGAAGTACCTAGTCTCATTTACACACATTATTATCAAAAAGTGTATGATAAAATACCTTAAAAATAAAATAAAAATACGAATAGTATTCCAAAATAGACTTTTAATATAAAAATTTCATAAAACTTTCGTTTTCATAATAAATACGTCTCGTCCTTTGGTAGATCAAGTTTTAAAACAATATAACCGATTATCATCACTGTTAAAAATATAAATAATGATAAAATTAATAAAAGAAAAAGTAAAGATATAAAATCAAACGAAACAATACATTTGCCGCGTGATGGTGAGTATAAATTAACTCTAACATAATATTATAGTAAAAATTACGCGATACATAAAAGCATAATTATTCGAAAATTAAATAAGTAGACATTAAACATAGAAAGGCTACGATTATGGCACAGAGGAACTATCGGGAGCGAGTCGCCACCGCTCACTTCTCTTTGGGCTTCTTCTCCTTCTTGCGCGGTGGCGGGACGGGCGCGTCGCCGCCGGCAGCGCCCTCCTTGTCCTTCTTCACCACTTTCTTTACAACTTTTTTCTTAGGTGCGTCTGATGGTGGACTGGGCTGTGCCGGCGACGGCGCTGGCGTCGGGATAGCAGGAGTCACAGGGGCTGTTGGAGCATCAGGCGTCGGCGGCGTAACCGTCTCCGTGATTGAAGACTCTATCTGCGCTGCTGTAGTGGATTTGCCCTTAGGCGGAACTTTGACGCCAATCTGTGCTAGTGATACTGCGCCGACGGGTGGCGTGGGCACCTCGGGCTCCTCCACGGCCAGACGGGAGTTCTCGGGCGCAGCAGGCGACTCGGCGACGGGCGGGGAAGCGGCGGTGACGGTTGGCGTGAGTAGCTCCCGCGCGATGATATCGGAGGCGAGCGCGGCCGCGTCCTCGAGCTCGCTGTCGGGCGTGGGGAGCGGGTCGGCGGCGGCAGGAGGGCTGAGCTTCAGCTTGCCCGCCGGCTTACGACGCTCCTCGGCTACACAACCAATTTTATTCTCGCCTTTATTCTCTCGAGCGATAAGACGTGGCGTTAGTATGGCGGTCACATTAGAGAGCAAGCTCGGTTAGGGCCTGGAACAAAGTCGAGGGAAAACATAGCTACTGGTTAATTTGAAACGATGCAAGCGGAAAGTTAGAACTGTGTCAGTTTAGTGAAGTCAGTTTCAAAGCTTAAATGACCATTACAAGGATTATTATTTTATTTCTGGAATCAATATTTTGACAGGGAGGGCAATTCATTACATTTAATATAGGTCGAAGTAGTAGTACCTAGGTATGTGAATATTTAATTTTAATTACGTTTATAAAGGTTCTACATGGTGTGAACGAAATTGTGCGCAGTCTACGTGAAGATGTGTCGCTATGAGAAGCTTGAATAATGTTCCTTGCAATGTGCGTAACAAAAACGTACATAAAGCATCGAAAAAACCTGTTACAACTTCGTCCAGAGGCTTATAATCATAGTGTAAGTTCTAAATTCCTCTCCGAAGTTGCAACCAGCTCCATGGTGCATCACACAGACATGCGTAGTTGCATCATCAATGAGATCGGATGCAACTGCACAGTGACAACTCATTCAGCTAATTAATTTGATATTTATAATAACAATTTAGAGGAACCGCTATATTTTCTCCAGAAATAGCTTTATGAGTGTTCGACGAAGTATCCCTACAATCTGCATCTACTTGGACGCAACCCAACAACCACGAAATATTTCTGTACGAAAACAAATAAACAACAATGAAGAATTTCAATTACTTAGGTAGATTTTTTTAGAAAGACATTTTTGTCAAACAGGAAATCAAAAGAGATGTGTTTAGGATTGGTAGACTTCACATAATGTCGAAGCTTTATTCACAAACATATACAGTTCCTCCACCGACGGTAACCCAGAACCCTTTAGCGCGATTATGAAGTCGCGTTGAGTCCAAGTAAAATAATAATTATTACCTGATCTATCAAAGCCGCGTCTCTTGCGCTGCCTCCTCGGAAGCTGGGTGAAATAACAACGAATTGAAACTTATGCTGATAAATAAACATAAAAACCAAACATCACAAAACGGCACAAAAAGAAAACAAGTGGACACATCGAGTTACGTGACGGCCTTCCAAGCTATTCACATACGTCAGCAGACCGGGCCACGTAAAACGGATGCAGCTAAACTATAAACATATTAGTACAAGTCTGAAAACTGCAAAATGAACTCAGTGAGAAACAGTGCAAAGCTGTTATCTGTTCGTGGCGCGCTCGCCTCTGTGCGTATACTCACATTTAGCAGCGGGAGCTAGGGGTGCAGCTGCCTCTTCCTTGGACGGAGTGTGGGCCAGGGGCGGGCTGTCCGAAGCTGATAGCGGTGGGCTGCTCTGCACAGGCGAGTCTTCAGTCTTTTGCGCAACACTTACAGCTTCAGGGGTTTTCGGGGCTTCTGACTGCACTGCTGCTGCAGCGGCAGGTTCTACTGGCGCAGATACATCTGGGACAATGGCTTCCACAGATACAGGAACTTCACTTGGTGGAGCTACCTCCGGGGCAGCGACTGGCTCTTGGGCTGGAGCAGCAGCTTCTACAGGTGCTACAGACTCTACTGTTACAGGTACTTCGGCAACCGGGGCTGAAACTTCAACTGGTGCTACAGCTTCAACTGTCACAGGTACTTCAGCAACCTCCACTGCTGCGGGAGCTGCTTCAGCTATGGCGACGGGAGCTGCTTCAACTACTGCGGGCACCGCTTCGACTGGTGCAGGAGCAGCTTCTACTGGTGCAGGAGCAGCCTCTACTGGTGGAGATACCACCTCAACTGTAGCAGGCACCACCTCTGCTGGGGTAGGTGCCGACTCAACTAGTGCTGGAGTAGCTTCTACAGGTGCAGGTGTTGCTTCAACTGGTACAGGTGCAGCTACAACTGGCTCTGGCACAGCCTCTACTGGCGCAGGTGCGGGAGCAGCCTCTACTGGCGCAGGTGCGGGAGCAGCCTCTACAGGTGCAGGAGCAGACTCAACAGGTGCAGGTGCAGGCGCAGCCTCAACAGGTACAGGTGCAGCCTCCACTGGTGCAGGTATAGCCTCCACTGGTGCAGTTACAGAGTCTGTTTGTGCAGGTGCAGCGTCTACTTGAGCAGGTGATGCCTCAACTGTTGCTGCTGCCTCAACTGGTGCAGTGGCGGCCTCTACTGGTGCTGGTGCAGGCTCTGCTGGCCAATGTGAAGTCAGTAATTGTGCAGGTGCTTCTACTGATTCAGATACGGGACTTTCCGCTGGAACCACTTCCTTTGCCACTTCGACTTGTTCTGCCACTGGTTCTTGCACTACATCTCCAGACTGAACTACAACCTGCTCAGGAGCTGGTTGTGGGGTTACTTCCCTAGGAGGAGACTGTTTAGCAGGTGAGGTGCGGGGCTTGCTCAGTGTTTGTGAGATCTTGGCCCAAATGTTCGCAAAGGAATCCGCGCCCATGTAGTCAATATTGCCGGCCTCCCAGCCCTGGCGACGTGACAGCTCGTCCAAGGCCTCACGCTGGCCTGCAGCGCCCGGCAGCACGCGAGCAAGATTGCCAGCCACACCACTCTGTAACAGAGGTTATTCTTATGTAGTTACAGGATTTAAAATTGCAAACAATACGACTACATTTTTATTATTATTACAATTCTAAAGGAAGAATGTTAACAAATAGTTTAGTACGTGCAGAGTACAATCAAGTGGTGAGCATGCGAAGCTAGTCTACAATCTGTACTTACGGTATAATGGCAAACACTTTGACACTTAAGCTTAGTAACAATAAAATAGTTTTACCTGAGAATGTTGAGTGTTATTTCGACGTGTAACTTACTTGGTCATCTGAAAAATTAGTGTCCATTGGTATTGGTTCTTCTGGTAGGTGTGAGTCATCGTGAACTGGTGAGTCCGGTGGGGGAGAAGGAGATGGAGTGGGTGGTACTTCGTGCGAGCACACTTTCCGACCTCGAGCGTCCACAGTAACTCTGTGCCTTAAGTAGAAGCCATCATAGGGGTGCCTTGGTACTATGTCATCAAAGTCGTCACTCTCGCTTCCAGACACCTCCCCATTCATAATGCGTTCTTTATAAACATCTATCCGATGTAGTCGTCTGCGGCGGTTGCGTTTCTTAACTTTCTTCTCTTGAACATGTTCTAATACTTTATGTATTTCGTGAAAGTTTTGTGCGTTTGGATCTGAATTGTCATAATAATTGTGATCATGTCTCTGTTCGTCTATTCTATACACAGAATCAATGTGTTGTGTATGACTAGTGTTCTCGTTGATGTGTGTTAGTTGTTGGTAGTGGTCGTGTGATTTGTGGTGATAATCATGAGTCTGATGACTGTGATGTTCATAGTGACTTTGATTGTGGTGCTCGTGATTTTCAGAACTGTGATGGTAATGGTGATCATGACTGTGATGGCCATGATGATCATGACTGTGATGATGCTGGTTATCATGTCCATGTTGATCATTGTGGTCATGCCTGTGTTGAAAATAATGATCTTGGCTGTGATGGCCATGATGATCATAATGGACTGCACTATGATGATCATGATAGTCTTGGCTATGATGCGTGTGATCTTCATGATGATGACTTTGTTGATCATGATGATCGTGAGAATGATGAGCATGAGTTTGTTGATCATAATTTTGGTTATGGTTGTCATGGCCGCCCCAGTTGTGGTCGTGTTCTTGATGCCAGTGACCTTGATGTTGATCTTGTTGTTTGTGTCCATGTTGAATATTATGTTGCCAATTATCTGTATAATGTTGTTGTCTGTCTTGGTTCGGATTGTGTTCTGTGTATGTAGGAGGAGGTCCTTGTGCCTGATATTCCCATGCGTACTTTCTAATTTCTTCATGATCGTCTATCCTTGCTAATTCTTTGTGATGGCTGACTTCTTCTTTCGTATTTGGTGGTATATGTCCTCTATAAATCTTCCATGGATCGAAAAACTCAGTGATATCTATATCTTTCTTTCGTGTTTCTTCTTTAGTTTTTGTGTCGGGATGGTGCCAAGCGAATTCTGACTCAGGGTCCGGAGTGGGCTGATAGTGGTATTGTTGTCCCACGTCATGTGGAGGTAACGCAGGGGGGCCTTCATGTGTGTCCGCCACCTCAACCTATCGGTTGAAGTGAAACAACTCAGTAGTATGCAATGCATGCACAAAAACACTTGAACTAAGCTTCGCACTAGCTATCTCACTAAACTGTGCAAAAAACTTTGTTCAAGCGGCAATTAGTGTTTAATAGGTACGCGTCACTAAATAAACAACCAATTTAAAAAATCTAATAATAAATCTAGGAATAACTAGTCAAACAATATAAAATAAAAAAGCAATTATTTTATTTGGTATGTTTATCAAGATACCGCGGTGAGTATTCCACCAAAATACCAACACCATCTAAGTACTGTGTCCCATACAAATATTAATCAAACCGTGCAAAAGCAGACAGACGTCATAGTTGAAAGTTAGAATATGTTAGTATTTTGGAGAAATATTATGTCACACGAATAAAAGAATGCTTCAAACAAAGGGTGCGTCAAGTAGCAGAACGGTGCACAAGCGCAGAGTGCAAGCTATTGTTACAGGTCGGAGGTTACTGTTTAGTCACTCAGGGATAGACAACACCCCAACACGGTGCTTAAGTAAAAGGATAAAATATTTAAAATCTGTACAAGTGTTTACCTACTCACATGGATACAGAGGTAGTAAATCTATTATAGTCTTTAAAAGAAAAGTCGAAAGCTCAATTTGAAATGTGTAAGTCTCACCTCTGCAACTTTAGAGTCCTTCCGTGAATGCTTGGAAAACATGTTGTAGTGTTCAGATCGGAGGGTGTAATGACAATGGATCGATTTACTAGACCATACGAGACACCACGAGATACTCGCGGTCAGGACAAACCACACAGTATCGATGTCAACAATATGGTAATCGATACGGATATTTATATCTAGATCAATCGCATATGCAATCCTTATCACATCTTGAGGTTACAATTGAATGTATTATTTATTTTTGTGGTAATTCGATATGGGAATATCGATTTCATTTGTTCTATTTCGATTCGTTGTATATTCATGTAAACAAGTGTGCATATACTAGACGGACTAGTCATTGTTCGGCTCGTCTTGTGTTATTTATAGCCGGATTCATTTTCATATTGTGTTCTTAGAAGATCACCAAAGCCATTTAGAATCATAGTAACTAGAGTTAGATTTTTTACCAATTTTTTCGCTTTAACGTTAAAACAGCAATAGCGCGCTGACGGCGCATGTTTGGTAGAGCTAGTTAATATTAGCGATCGGTAAAAACCTCACACTAGGGACTAAGTTCAAAAGTACTTAAACCTACGGTTTTAAATATTCCTTCATTATTCACTATATTCTTAGTATCTATGAAAAGTGTTCAACGGCTTACCATGCCGGTGTCAAGCTGGGAGTGCACTTGTCCCACGAAGAGGTCCCACCAAAGTTGGAGGAAACCTCGGATGTGCTCGGGCGCATCGACGGATCCCGATTCGAAGTTGAACTGTTGCAACCATGGCTTGGCGGCTCCGATGAAGTGGATGATCTTGAGGTTCTGCCCATAACTGGAAGAGGAAATGTTCAAGAAGCCAATTTAACTCTTCGTGATTTTGGTCTTTAGTTCTTGTAATGAAAGATAGTTAACCTAACGTCCCTTTCACATGCACACGGCGACCGCGCCGTGAACGTGCGCACGCGCCGTTATTTTGGCCTATAAACCTAACTAACTAAAATTAATTGACTTAAATCTGTTTCATGTACAGTATTTCAAAGTTAATAAATAAATCAAGGAAACCAATCTCGGGCTGATACTATGCAATGATTAGATAAAGACCCACCCCTGCTAGTGCTGTTATATTTCACAGAATAAGTATTATCTTGTGTTGTATGATAGTAAAATATAAGCATCACATACCAAACTTCCAACCGATTTCATGAGCTCAAGGATAACTTTAGCCTCCGTGGGATGATTTGGACTACTTTAAAATCTAAAATAATTTGGCTTACGTCATAGAGTTTTATGCTTTATGACGTACACATTACAGGCGAGTATGCGACACAATGCCTAAGATCGCCAACGCCAATATGAGGCGTGTGAATGCATCAGGTATTCTCACTCGTGCTGATCAGAGTGCCAAGATAAACTGTATTTACTTACGTTATAATGAAGTTTTTCCTATCACTTGTTGTTTTAAACAATAGTCATGTTTTTATTCGTTTCCGATAAGTGTTAGAACGCCGTCTTCGTCAACACATTTTCTTTTGAAACCATAACATTATCCAAGAAAAGAACGCGTCGGTTTTTCTCGTGACTAGAAATTTCAGAAGCAGAAAACAATTTTCCCATATATAAAATTCGAAACCTGAATCCTATCCTCACCGACCGCAGTTGTTGTAAAAGCAAATAGTCAAAAAGTATTCCAAATCCCCAAAACACATCTGGTTACTAGAAAATACATTGTCATTTATACTAGTTCTCAACTCACTGTTTCAATGCAGGCAGGTATGAGTAGAAGGCAGCTGATGTGACGTTGTAGAGGAAAGGCAGGTGCTTGTTGATGTCTCCATGCGCCCAGTCAGAGAAAAAGGAGTTCAGGAGACCTTGGTCACCACCTGTTACAACGTACACATTATACGAATGACGGAATGAACTTGACAAATGACCCAGCTAATATGCGAAAACATTCTCAACTAAAAGTAACACATTTCATATTACTTCTGCGTTGTATTCGTGACATTTTGCATTAAAATGATTAATATATTACAGCTGCGTAAATAAGGATGATTTTGCTTTAATTTTGTTTGTAAAATGTTTCTTCTGCTAAAGCCGCTTTTCAAAAAAATGTTTCCTATATAATTTTCTTGTCTAAGATTTCTCTTACCATCGAAGCTACCGCGTTCCTGTGCGAAGGCGATGAGTTTTGCGAAGGTATCGGCAGAGGGCGCGAACACGAACACTCCTGAGTTGAAGCAGTCGGGCCAGCCGACATCAGGGGCTGCTGACAACTGTTCACGTTCGAACAACTCGTCGCAGTTTTGGACCACCTACAAACAACATGTTCTATAAATTCGAAGATCCTAATTACAGAATTTGGCAGTTTCAAATACACGTCCTGGTATTTATTACCAAGAATATTTGGCGTAATAAATTTCCCAGCCATAAATACGGATTTCCGATATTTAATGTTATAAGCTAAACTAAACTAAACATTATTAACCAATTTGGATTCCGCGATTTGCGCGTGTCAATACGATACCTACAAAAGTCTTTAAAGATGGAGTCCACTCGAAATACTATATTTAGATGACCTTTCTGAAAAAGCGTATCTATCTACTGTCTACTGTTTCACAATTGATATTTGAAACTTTTGTTAAACGAGAAGTAGGCATAATTAATTAAACATAAATTAGTAACTTTTGACCTTTCACGTCTGGAACATTTTATAGATCTAATCAACGGTCTTATTATACAAAATTTTCGTTGAGATCCACGTGAGGAACATGTACATAATATGTTACTAATGACTGGTACGTTTTATCAAGAACTCGTTTATCTACGCATGGATAAAAACTTTGAGTTGACACAATAACCTGCGATAAATAAAAACTCATCGAGTCAATGGATTCTATCGAGACACTATCTCATTGTTTGTTATTGGAGCTTATATTATCCATAAATTGAATTTTTCTACACGTTTACATTATGTAATTTCATGATATAAACGATAATGGTTCGCTAACATCGTGTAATATTGCTTTTACTTTCCCAGCACTCGTCGCCTTCAAAAGAAGTGAAGAATGAAAGTAAGTATATTGGAGCCGATCCAAAATTGTCGGGAACAAAATATTTGGGCCACGGTTATGCGTCTCGTCATCTCGTGTTACTGCACTAACGTTCACATCCGGTAACATTGACTTTCTTATCGCACAAACGGTTAGACATTGAAATAGAATTAACGACTTTTATAATATATGCTCGTTAATAGGACAATAAAAATCGAAAACGATTTGCAAACAGCAAAGAAGACATGTTGACACGAAGACTATTGTCGAGGTTCGCCGTGACATCACACATCACCTCTTTAAACATTTGCAGATTTGGCTGACACGTCTAATGTTCTTAGTGTTAATGTTTAACCATTAATTTAGCATACTTTTACGACTAATCCGCCGTCCCACTAATAGCGACGAGTTGGACGCTACATATTATACGACAAACATTAATTCAAAGCGACAGTTACTACACGAGAATTGATTGAAGCAATCGCCGGCCAAACGACGTTTATCTAAATTGCTCTTTGATATTGCAAAAATATTTACACTTGGAAGTTTATTTTACCTATCCAGAACATCTCGAACAAGCATGCTAAAATGAGAATCGATATTGATCCGAAGACATCAAACCGTTTGCTAAATCGCTGTTGGTAAACAGGTTACCATGGCCGATCTTATTTAGTTTAATTCATTAGCGCTGTCGTCGTTATAGGACGTCCATTAATTAAACTTTAGAGAGAAGACAGATCTGTCTGCGACAGGTGCCAAAAAAGCTCACCAATGTGTCGGCATCCAGGAACACACACTTGTCGTACTGCGTGAGATTCCAGCAGTGGATCTTCGTGAAGGTGATGCCGAGCTCGGGCCGCTGCAGCAGCGCGAGGTGCGCAGCGTCCTGCGAGTCCAGCACGTCCACCGTGATCACCTCGGCAAATACTCCGCCAAGCCGCTCTCTGAGGACATCCAACACAGATTCATTTTAACTGAATACAAGTATCCTTGACGTTTTGAGCAGTTGAATTGAAAATAACTGTGGGTGGTTGGTTGTTAACCACTTAAGAGCAATTGTCATTGATCTTGAACATCACTTATCTACCTATCAATAAATATTGCACTTCCAGAATAATATTTATACTGTAATATGAATTTTAGTCCGTACATGGGAAAATATTTGGATTATTTTGACAATTTGTGCATAACGTGTATATTTGTGTAGTCGTTCTCACATCCAAGTTGAATACATAAAACAGACGAGTGAATGTGTGTGTTATATGTTAAGCGTGCGATTATTTGGTTTTGTGAATATATTCATTGTATAAATTGTTCACTTAATTGTAATTTGTGAATTGTAAAGTGCGAAATAAACATATTGGCTCGGTGATAATGGAGTATGACTGTACTTCGACAATCATACAATCAGCCAATAATGGCAATTTAAAAATATGTGTTATCTTCGTACCGCATTGAATAAGATTCAACTCTGTGCACTACATACCTACTGTTCATTGAATTTCAATGACTGTTCATTTAGGCTTTGAATTTAAATGGCTAAAGCAAGTCGAGCTCAATAATAGGCTGCTGTCATTAAGCTCGTCTTGCTTTTTACTGGCTATTTTTAGACATGCTGATGAGTAAAAATAGCAAATTATTATAGTGGAAAGGAGAGGCCGAATGCCTTTGAATTGCTTGTTATACTCTGTGGTCAATACCAATTGAAATCAAGTGTTCTTAGATATATCTTATGAAAATAAACACGATATTCATTTCTTTAAAGCCCTGTAATCGATTGTCTGCCTAATCCTCCCAAAATCCTAATTTCAGTTCATCAACTTCTCGTTCCGAAAATTCGCGAGGAAGTTCAATAACATTTGGTATAGGAAATGCCAAACGGCCGATAAGTTACAATGTATATTTTATTTTGTCTTGTCATTCAAAAAACTAAGAATAGAAGCATCTTTGTCGTGGGTGTTGTCGTAATGTATTCTCAGAATATTTATAGGACTTGTAGGCAATAATATACACGCGCCTTTTCGCAGATAGCAAATCTACCTGATAGTGCTGATACGTAGGAAGAAATAAGATTTATTTTGAGTAAGGATAGTATATAAGTGCTTGGGTTCTTAAGAAAACATAATTCAAGGTTGATGAATATTACTAGCGCATTTTGCACGGTAAGCAACTGCAAATTTTTCAAAGGTCTAAAAATGCAGTGACTCCAATGGGTCGTTCATAGTAAACCTGCAGTAGGTAGATACGCACTTGGACATTTTACACGAGTTTATAGACATTTTAACAAATGCCTTAACAGTATCATATAATTATAGGTAATGCAAGAAAACAAAGTATTATACCTCATGGGGTCAGTGACGGACGGTGTGATGAGTACCACGGCCGGGTACGAGGAGCCGACGCGGCGCAGAGAATGCGCCAGCACCAGGGCTCCCAGACCGTAAGAGTCGTTTGTGGCTAACGTCACCCATGCTCGACCTGCACAAAACAATGTCGTAAGAAGAAACCAACACACAATCAACATTGCATCAACTTGACCTGTATTGTTTTGTCAACATCATGAGTTGCGACTGTCATCGGCCATGTTTTCACATTTTTCTAGCCGATTACCGTTACTTTCAAATTCTACCTCTTGACTTCGACCACTAGCATTCTTCAAACTATTTGCCTGTCTATGCCCAATATTTGCAAAAGCCCACTTGTAACAGATTTCTACATTTTAGTGGTAAGTTCTGTCTCTATTAAACAAACAAAAGAAATCAATTCTTGTGTCTACATTGTTGACTAGTTTTACATAACAGAACCATGAAATATGAGTGGGCAAAGATACAGGATGAAAAAATTAGTAAATTACTGTTTATTGGGTAACCTAGATAAATACAAACCTAAGCCAAGGCCCTATAAGGAAAGTCACCCTATGTATGTATGTGTGATGATTAGTCATTAGTCCTACCATTCATATTTTAATTGACTAAGTAAGTATAAGTACTCAGTCCTTATTTCATCTATTACTTTATCCAAAGAAACAACTTTAGTAAGTATTAGAATTGACAAATATTTCTTTTTCTTCTTCAAAGCTAGTTGGCAGTTGACTTCTTAATAATTCGCTGATATATATTTCAACTTTCGTAATTTACGAAAGTATTTGTGAGAGATAAGTAAATAGCGAATACTGTCACTGGCTCAATTCAATACGATATTTATAAATCCGCATTATAATTTATGTTTAATTTACAAACGCACCAGTCTAATCACATTTTCTGTAGTCGCCTTTGGTGCCAAAGACGTAAATATCTAAAATAACTGGAGAAACGTTGTTTTGGAGGATTACGTAGACTGTATTTTAGCAATCCGCTGTCTGTTCGTGTTGGGCGTCGCCTTCGTCATAGAGAAAATGCTATGAGGAAGTGCGCAGTTTCTTCCTCTTGAGATAAATACGCAGATCGTCTACGTAGATCTCTGTTGTAGGTACATACAATATTGGCACGTGCTGTGGGAGTTGGCGCCGCTGCGTGTGCGCAACATTATTTCTTCACCTGTCAATAACACCACGTGTCCCACTGCAGTCCCGACATTCAGTCTAATTAGGAAACATTTATTGTCTAGTCATTTATTTGCACGCCTTATGTTATATTGGCATGCCATAAGATTTATTAGTTTAAATCTGTTTCGGAACAAGGTCTGTGAGACGTTAAAAACAAATCAAAACTTCATTGCTGTTGCTGTATTATTTATAATTATGCAATTATTATAGTATAGAAAACCGTCTCGGATTCCACGAAAACTTTCGCGGGAATAGCTCCGGGCATCCAGCTTGCGTGGGCCATTACATATCCACCATGTAATAGACAAGTGCCGCACGTTCAGTTCCGAAATAGCGCGACACAAATAAAATTCAAAATAAAACTACTGTGTAGCGTTAGATATTTGGTGTCGAGTCTGGCCACGCTTATGTATTCCGCAATTAAACTCGTAAGTCTTCCCGATCACAGCACGTCAGCTTAGACTGCAGACAGCTAACATAGCTAAACAGATAACTAGATAGGTACGCAGGTGACTAGTGACGTTCCAGACACAGTAGAACATTCCCCATGTTGGTACAGAAAAAGGACGGGCCATAATCTAACCGTCAGCACGTAAATTCAAATTGAAATATTTATCTTATATTCGTGAAATGAGCGGCCAGACATTTAATTTTTGATGTCGGTTTATAGAAACTTAAACATCCTCCGTGTCATAAAAACTATCAAACCCTGGCATCAATTTTATCTCCGGAAATTCCGTCAATACATTCGAGGCCGACTTTTAGTGTGCAGAAATGTGCTCATTACATGTTTTTACAGCATTAATGGTTTATCAACATCGTAAATGCAGAGCGATTTATTTTCTTAAATATCAGTTTGGTTTGGTAGCTACCCGGACTATTTAATGTTGACTAAACCAAAAATAAAACAAGTTAATTTATTGCAAGGAACTCTAGTGGCAAAAGGCACCCCAAGCACCAACAAGGCACTCGAGAGTTCAGATGCAGGATCAGGCGCGCTCGGGAGCAATGTCCCTGCGGTTTCTATTTAGGTGCGGCCGGTCCGGCGGGATGGAACCACGCGGGCAGTCGACCGTTTAACGGAATAAAGGAATGCAATGATGACGTGTTCATCTTTTTATATTGTTACATGTCTACCAAACTATTTGCAAAACCTGGAAAATCTGCATACTTCGGCTGAAAAACTAGTCTTCGTGATCCACACTTTCTAAGTTCGCATCTCTGATGCGCACGCTATGTGCCGGCAACGTTAAGCATTTCACTTAGCCAATATTTAATTTTCAGTGGAGTAAAGTGAAACCCGAAGTCTTAGGTCTTGTTGTTTAGAGAAAGTGGGACTGGTTTGCGAATTATCCGAGTTTCGTGCGAACGAAACCCATAAATCTTTCTGGGTATTGTGCTATAAACCTAAACGACTTCATGTTCTGCAAATTCCAACTACTTTAAACATGCAATATAAATACAATTATTCATTGGTGCATTGAATTCAAGTTTATCCTTTAATCATGTTAACGAATACCATTGTCCCGAAAGCTGAATGCATAATGAAATTCAAATGATTTGGAATGATAAAGTCAGATTTATAGTTCGCTATCAACCTACATGGCTGGCGCCAGATTAGCCGCAATCAGGTCGGATGATCCTTTGCGGTCTGTAAGTATTGATTGTCGGGTATCAAGTTAAAGAATACAAGGACCATGTAACCACATTACACTACTTCACAATAATTATTCCCAGATTATATAGGTACTTTTTTATTAAATTGCCCTAAAATCTTCTTTATCGTCTAAGGGGGATCCCTTAGTCAATAAAAAAGATTTTAGACCCTATTTTATAGTGAATTGAGTGGCACTTGGAAAATATTTTCGCACTAATTATGGAGTGCGATGTGCGAATGATGTTACCGCAGTTTCCATAACATTTGATATCGCGTAGCTGATAGGCTCGATGTTTATGAATGTAGGTATTTGTAATAGATAACGATACTCTGTTTACGATCTCTTACCGCTGATGCCGATACGAAAGAAATTAAACGTAGGGTACAAATAGAAGTGTAGAACAATTGATAATCTTTTGCGGCTAACGTCTGTGACGTAGTTGTTTGTGGGGTCAATAAAGATATCGGACACACGCCAGACCAGAATAATTCAAGGTTATCCAGCTTCCTGACATATTTTACTAGAAAAATATGGGTCTTTATTACCTCAATTAATTTTATCGATATTATGGTGGTTATTCTAGAATCTAGATGGTCCACGAGTAATCGAAGATAGTGTTAATTTTGTAACATGGGAGAAAACGAGATATGAATAATGTTTACTGGAACTTATTTTTATACCTAGCTATTTTCATAATTTTAGTTTTACCCATAATTACTTTCTGAAAACCTTGGCAGTCACTGATTGACCTTTTATTTTTATGAAAATAAAACGTTTTCCTTAAAAATATAATAAAATGGCTAACAAGTAGGTAAAATTAGCAATGAATATGTTAGTCCTCGTTAATAGAAAGCAATTAAAATAATCAAGGTAGGCACGACACTATTACTTGTGTAAAGTATTTTTAACTACCCTGTGACAATTTTAAAACAATTTCAATTAGTTAAATTCCGCAAATTCTAGTCATACATCAGTATCTTTAAATTAAAAGTTATTGAAAGTAAACGCTATAATGAAAAATTACGTAAAATGCCGGTATTATAATAGTGGTACGGGAGCTTACTTGACATTATGAGGCCGGGTGTAGTCTCGTGTGTGACAGTTCCAGTCACCTCAGATATGTTCACGAACTACACGCGCTCTTCGCGCAGCACTAGCTAATGCACGCAGCGTGCGCGACCGGCGACCGCGACCCCCTCGCCGCGGTGATACCCACACTATCTCGCAAACAATACGTCATCATACTCAACACACACACAAGTACACTAATAACGCATGCGTAAAAATAAAAAATGACGTATCAATATTTAAATATAGCATTTTGAATCACATTTTAGTCTCAAAAACTGGTCTAATAATAAGTTGAACTCTATTATTCAATTTTAGAATGAGATTTTTAATTTATTTAAACTGGCAACACTTAAATAAAACGTACTCAAACAGCTGTTCGTAGCGATCGATAGATGTCAGTGGGTGTCGCTTTATTTTCGTTGCCGTATATAGCATAACGGTATCCGTAGTAAAATCTCTTCGTTCTAGGGATGCCAGTAGTATAATGAAACGTCGATATTTTAGGTTTAATTAATTTTAATATCACGAAATGTTATTGTGATATGTATTATTTTAGACGTTATCTCAACGGAATATTTGACTGGCCCACAAATACTTATTTGGAGACATAAATAAGCCAATATCTTTTTGTTTTACCAACTTCATTACTAAAAATGCCGTCGCTATGATTAGTTAATTTGTCATTAGTGGAATACGTAAACGACAACTTTATGACTGTTGCTTCCAACTTCCTCTTTTTTACATTCTTACTGTAATCGGTATTTGTCGATACTTTATTTTATCGACATTCTTGGGGATACGTGTTACATCCCTACATCGCTATCCAATAGTCTCTTTCATGCTCGGGGACGTTCCGCGGTATTCTTTGATATTATTAAACGTGAAGTCGGGTCGATGAACGATTTCGGCAAAAAATGACGGTCAATTATGCAATACGATGTACTATAGACAGACTGTAAATACGGATTTGTGTTAGAAAACGAAAAAAAGGACAATTTGAACGAAAAATGTCGTAAACGGCAGGTTAGCGTGTTGTGTTTGTTTTCGGTGTTTCGGTGGAAACCATGGCCAACTCCCCGACTAGTATAGAAACACAAATAGACAGTTTTTTGGAACAATTTAAGAGAAGTGCGTCCAAGGCGATGGAGGAGAGAATGGAATGGCCTGATGGTCCATCGCCAGGAGGTGTCGTCAAGTCTCGGAGCAGCTGCTTCGCCCTAGACGCAGCAGCTGGTGAGTAATAAGTCTAGATTTAAAAAATGAACACTACTATGACGTCATTATGTTCTACGTTATAAATGTAATAATAATGAAAATTACAGAACTACCCTACCTTCGAAAAATTAAATAGGAATAATGGAATTTAGTAAAAAATCAAGTACATGTAAGTTTAGTGTATCACAATAAAAAAATTGTCCACACATAAATGTATGGTTTAAAATTAGTGGTAGTGTATATAAATAGACGCGATAAATGATTCTAAATTATAATTATATTGGTAGGTAATTAGATTATTGCACCAATACGATTCTTTGTAAGAAATGATTAATCATTTTCATTTCAATATTCTATTTATTATTATTTATCTATTATTTTTTTTATTTCAAAAATATTGAGTTTTCCCTGATTTTATGTTCAAAAATTGAAATAGGTTAACCTTGCTCTGTTACTATGTTGTTCTATTTTGACAGTTAGGGTGTGTGACCTTGTTTTGCGTTGAATAAAATAATAGGTAGGGACTTAGGTATATTTTGACCATACCTACCTGAACCGTCATAATTTTTTACACCAATATTTCAATATTTTTTTTAGTTTTATTGCCCATCGTACGTATCATATTGATGAAAATAAGTAGGTGTAAAAGTACCTACGTGGAAATGCGTAAATATGTATTGGTCATTAAATACCTACTATCGCCTGTAAAAAATTACGTTACTGGATATATCCAAGTAGCTGCACCTATTTTATACATAAACTAGGTATGTAACAACATCATAAATAGATCGCACCGTAGTTAACTAGGAAATAGAAGCGGATGTCAAAAGGAAATGATTTTTTATTAGAACAGCCGGGACTCCCTCTTCTATACCTCATATAGGTAGGTAGTGTATCGTCGAAAATTAGTTTACAAATAAAATAAAAAGTCAGGGTTTTGTGGCGGTTGACCATTTACTTCAGTTCCACGTCGTTGCGGACCCTCCTTATTTTTACGTCGATCTCTGCTATAATTATAGCACGTAGGAACACCATAATATTGCCAGGTACTTATAGTAGATATTTCATTAAAATTTGTTTGAAACACAAGCATATTTGGCCTTATTTGACATTTTATTTATAAATTGTGTGGGCTAACGTTAAATTGACGTCATCGACAAGTAACTTCAGTGAAGACATACAAGCGCGAAAGCTTACGAAATGTGGTTATTGATTAACATTTCCTTTAACCATACCCAAACCTTGTTCCATGAGGAACCCATGAAATAATAATAGTTAATAAGTTTACTAAAATTTCTTAAAAACAATAAACATTTGTACAGATCAAACTAAATTTTTTGATTTAGTATCAAAATTTTGTCAACGCCCACATTTTGTCGTTTTAATTACGAGTGTGCAGTGTATATTACATACTAAAATATTTTTTAAATAATTAAATGAACTGATTGTTTATTTATTTACCAATACTTTTAGTCTTTTAAGCGGCTGTGGGAATGAATAAACGTCGTCTTCAAAATTGCCGCGCTAGGCAAGCGTCGATACGGAAACGCGCGCTTGGCGCCGCCTGGTGGTGGCGCACTGTACTAATTACGTGTTCTACGGCGTCCTCCGACTTTATTCACGGAAAGTGTATCGCCATATTGCTTCCGTGAACTCAGTGAAATATTTGTGCATTTCTCTCTAATTATGACTGTAATATTAAAATGAAGTGATAAAAAACAAACCACAGTCTGTTAGAAACTGTGGGGATACGTTTTTATACATCTCAGTCTCCGATATTACGTGAAATAGGTGAGTTTTATTCTTCCTTTGCTATGACTATATGGCCCAATATTCCACGGGAGTTCGATCCGCTATGCGATAATGAAACTTAAAAAATGCGATTAAGGTTAATAATTGCGCGGTTTTTGTTATGTTTATTTACATGAATTTGAAAAGTTATCGCGGTTTTTCTTGTATTGTGGCTTGGGGATGTCGATTCTGGTAGCAATCAGGGCGGGTTTGTCGAGTGGCTTTGTACATACACGTATGTACGTACATGTGATTTGACGTGAACGATCGGTTGTAGCATCGAGCAGGCAGAATGTCGTACGAAAAGATGGAAGTGGTGAATCCTGCTGAAAAAGAGGCTAGCGAGGTGCTGCATTCGCTGCTCTCTGTAGAGCGGCGAAGCGTGGACAGCAAGGAGGCGATAATCGTGTCCATACCAGCCGACCAGAACGGAGGCGGCGAATACGGTGAGAGTGCTCAATGGCATACTCCCGTCATGGGCCAGCACTCGGTCTTCGAAATGGGAGGACAAAATATGCAACAACATAGCTACAATGGTCATCAAGAACAGGTATTTACTAATGATTACTCTTTGTTTATTTTCAGGTAGCCATTATCTTTTTGTAAATCAGCAATTGATTCATCAAACATAAGTTAATTAATCATGATTATTACTTTACAGGTTTTGTGGCAAGGGCACACAATACAAGTGGAGAATGGTAATGCTAATTTGCAAGCCATACCCGGTACATATAGCATTGAGTTTGAGTCCCATGTTGAAGGTGATCCAGGAGACATGGAAGTGGACACAAAACCCAAAGTTGAAAAGAAAACGGGCAGTAAGAAAAAGAAAAAAGCTGAATCAGACAGTGATGAAGAAGTTCTTGACAATAAACTGGAAGATAATCCAGCGCAGGTGAGATTTTTTATTAGTTGTTAAACAATATTTGAGGTTATCTTCCAAAAATGTTGTGTTAGCCTTTTTAGTGAATATTGCAGCTATGCAAGTTAATAATTATGAGTATGAACTCTAAGACTCATAGACATCAATCAACAATTCATGTTTATAATTTAACTCAAGAAATTTAAACTACTAGAAAAGTACTAAGAACTTGTATAAACCGTCTGTTAACTGAAATATGAACAAAGTGAATACATCTATATAAGATTTATAGTAATGTTGAATTCTAAATAAACATTAGATGTTTTACTATAAATCTTTAATTAACGCTTGGTTCACGGGTACACAGATCAACGCGAGACACAAGTGCAATAATCAAATAGTTAATGCATAACATGATACCTGTTACTTCCCAGAGAGTTTGGCATTGATGTTCTGAATTAAAACTGCTCTTATTTAGTACTTGCTACTTTTAAAAAAGCAATATTTGTTCTAGTCGCTACAACTACATCTGTATGCAAATGCTGAATTAAAAAAAATCAATTTATCCTAGGCCACACTTTTAGTTTACATATTGTGCTAAGTTAAGTTAAATGCATACTCAACTCATTAAAAGTTGTAGCAACAATTTTTTGTGGATTACCTAGTTTTATTCTAAAAGTTTCATTGTGATAACTTAGTCCTCTTGTTTCTTGATTGATTTATTTGTGTGTTATTTTATTTCAGTTTACCTAACAGTATTATTAATGTATGTTTCAGGTCAAAGAAAGACTGAGGAGAGGATGTGATTGTAAAGACAACTGTTATCGTGGACTTAACCCAGAAGCAGTTTATCGGCATAGACTAAATATTGCTGAACTAACTAAGAGTGAACATGATATGTACCTGATGGGCATCACAATGGCAAGCTTGGCTAATCCAGCTGAAACATCACGCCACAAAGTCAGAAGGAGATTAAGAGCATGTTATGTATATCAAGGTAGGAAAGTTTGCCTAGAGGCTTTCCTGTATCTTGAGAATGTTACGCACTATCAGCTGAAACGAATCAGGCAGCACGTAATGACGCATGGCGTTGCACCGCGAATACACGGTAACGTCGGTAAGAAACCATACAACACCTTCACCCTAGATATTTACAAACATGCTACTAATTTCCTGAAAGAATACTTGAAACAACATGCCAGTTCACCTAAAGATGTTCAGCCATCTGGAGAAAGTGGTAAAAAGGCCAGTAAGACTGTGATCATTCAAGGAGACTCTCGGAAACATTTATTCGAGGCTTACAAAGAGTATGGAGAAATCTTAGAACCAGGTGTAAAACTCATGGGATATTCAACCTTCCGTGCTTTCATGAAGGACCAATTTCCTCATGTTAAATTTGCCACTAAGAAGCAAGAAATTCCTAAAGATATGGTGCCCTTCCGCAGCGGTAAGTGTATGTCATACGATAAGAATAAAGATCCCATAAGACTACAGCAAGAGAAAGAAAAAGCCGACGCCAAAAAGGCAGCTATGGAGGCTAAGAAGAAAGAAGAACACGAGAGGGAGCAACAGGCGCAACAACAAGCGCAGCAACAGCAACAACAGCAGCAAGTACAGCAACAACAACAACAACAGCAGCAGCAACAACAGCAGCAACAGCAGGTGCAACAGGTGCAGGTCCAGCAGCACCAGCAGATGCAGGGCCAGGCGCACGTCGTCATCCACCAGCAACAGCCGCAACAGCAGCAACAAATGCAGCAACAGATGCTGGTGCCGCAGGTGAGCCAGCACCAGCAGGTGCTGACTCAAGGAGTACAGCAGGTGACGCAGCAGCACTGCGTGCAGCCACTGGGCGTGTCGGAGGAGGGCGGCCAGCCCGTGGAGATGGCGCAGCAGGTCATACCCCTCGCCGTCGTCCAACAGCCGCAGCAGGCCTACATCGTCACTCCTGTCTCACACTTCCAGACTCGTGTTCAGGGAGCTTGGTACAGGCATTGACAGCCGTTCCCGACTACGATAAGTTTCGAGTAATGCAAACAATGTAGCAGATGCGAACATTTGTACGTAACTGAAGATCTCGCGATGACTGAACTGTTGTAAAATTGAAACGGTTCCTTGGAAATTCTGTTAATTTCAAACGCCACACGTAACTTTGGCAATAAGTTAGCAAGGATAGTTAGGTAACACCTTTTCAGTATTGGTTGAAAAACTAATTTAATAAAACTATCTGTAAGTATAAAAGTTAATCATATTTACACCATATATTAGCAATTAGCTATGTAGTTTATTTTAGAAGTATGTAATGTGGTTTTTCGAAACAGATACTAAAATTATTTTTATTATGAGTATAGTAAGACATTGTGTAGTAGCTTTATGGGAAGCATGAAAGAATCTTGTGGAAATTGAGTATGCATCCAAACAAACTTGTGTGTTATTTATGTGTGGCTTTTATATTGGAATACCGAAGCAAACTGTTTACAAAATCCTTCGACTATACGAAGTTTTTTTGGATGTATTTACTCAAAAAAGGGGAAGTAGTATTTGGTTTGAAACAAGCAGATTTGTGTTAAAGGTCTAGTTTTATCTTAGATTACTTATAATGAGGATGTGGGCTGCGAACTGATATAGTATAGCAAGTAATAAATATAAATTCCATTGCGCAATGAGCAAATCTCGTACTTAGTATATTATGTTATCAGAGTGAGTCAGTAGAGTTGCAGGTCAGGTAAAATATTATACATACTTGTTTAATGAAAAGGTAAAAAGCTAAAACATCTCGGAAAAAATATAATGATATTTAACTAAACGATATTTATCAGAAATGTTGCTTTCTGAACTCGATATAACAACACATATTGCATGAAGACTTCTTTTGGTTCATGCACACACATTAATCTCTTCATCAAATGGCATCAGTAATAGATTGGCCCTTTTAATACTTCCTCCAGATTGGTCGATAAGTCCGCCTCTGTAAACTCTACTGGATTTCACACTCTATACAACTCTTTATAACTATTCTTACGTCTTTGTGAACAAAATATTTGTTTCAAATTCCAGCAACACTCATGTTATGATCGGTAACCATTGAATACCAATATGAAAACAGTTTGCTTGTTTCAAAACTATACACTTGCCAAGAGGGTGGTATTGACAGCTAGCAGTTTTGTAGGAGAATGTTTTGCAATAGCGATCAATTAATTTAACAATATTTTGATCGACACATTATTTTCATGTATCAAAAAGCAGTGCCTTCATAAAATGATGTGGATTTTGACATAACTCGTGCGATTATAATTTCGGAATTAATATTTAGAATAAAGTAATATAAGATTTTAATGAAAAGTGATGTATTACAGTGCTTTAGGATGTTTTCAGTAAAATAACCAAATACCTAACTTACAGAAAAATTATTTTAGGAGCATACATTTTTGGAAGAATCCATTTATACCAAACTTGAATAGAGACACAGAGTAAAAACAACAGACTTACGAAATGCACGGAATAATGCAGTTTCTATCTAATTATAAAAACAAATAATGTACTGAGGTTTTTATAATAAATAGAAATTGGAATTATTTTTCAGATTGAATTTAATTACATATCAAGGATGTTGTTACATGTGTGCAGTACACAATTATGTCTACTTCATTTTATTAATGCTTGTGTGTGGTTTATTATAATGTTTTATTGCAAATTAGAGTGTGCAAATATTGTCATTGTCTCTCTCATTCAACAAACAGATTTACTCAACATTGAATGGTAAATTCAAATGAATGCTTCCAGTCGAGTGAAATCATTCTTCATACACTGGTGCAGGCAATAATTCACATAGCAATACTACTTGTACTGCAAACTAATGTGTAAAAACTTTAAAGCAAAAGTGTTGCGAAATTGTGATTTTGGTGACATTATATTGATCACTTTAGATTTTAGTGTATCACAATGAAAGGACGCTTATAATATAAAGACAATTTAATTCAAAGAGATGCATTTTGTTTCGTGACATCAAGGAGCATACTTAGTTTTCTAAAACTATTTAATTGTCGATCAAGAAGGCTGACTTTGAATGCTGAGTTATAAGACCTCGGCTATGAGTTCATACTTTAGTAAGGATTTATTTAATAAGTGCAGACAAATTTAGGTAGTTAGTGATAACACTAGGAGTTCTAGTGTGCCTAGTTATAATATCTTGGTGACCAAACTTGCAATAACATCAGTTTCAAAAATGAACTTGTGATGTAACCGTAATATGTACAATTTTCAAGTATGTATTTTCCAGTTCCCCTTTGTTGAAGTTCATATTATGCAAGTTTCTTGTTTACTTTGGCAAGAGTCACGATCGTGCATTATAGTAAGATTAATATGGAAGTCAACAGTACAGCAAGCTTACTCTTGAAACTAATCTCAATGTCAATTTCAATCCAATGCAATAAAATCTCGAAATAGCATCCAGAGTACGAATTATAAAGCCAAACTCAAAATACCATTTAGTTCATTCAATATCCACCCAATATGGATGCAACACTCGTGTTGGAACTCAAGAGTGAAACCTTACAATATCAAAGTTGATCAAAATTGGATTCAAGAGTAAGCCCCCTGGATAGAAATGTCCAGGTACTTAAATGTATTTAATATCTATACATAAACAAGAAACCTACTCATGAAATGCCATGCCATTTATCCCTGAAAGTTTGAATGAATTTTTACACTATGTACTTTGCATATACATATTTTAATTATTGGCATATTTATTATCCCAACGATATTTTACTTATGATTATGACTGTTTAACTGATAATATTATTGATACCAGTTATTTCTGTAAGCCTTTTTAGGTATTTTATTAATTTTCAAATTTATCAAAACAACAAGTAAAAATGTCTTCACGATGACAAGACTAGTAGGTAGTTTTCGAATCGGAGACGAAAGTAAAATCTCACATTTTTTTTAATTATAATAGATATAGCGTTACGTATGTATAACTGATAGAAGTGTGTATTCATTATCAATTTACCTATAGACAGTACAGAAATGTGCCTAGAAATTATGCTTATCCATGTATTTTTGTAGTGCAATAACATGTAAGATTCGGAGCAGATTTTATAATATGATCACCAAATTATGATATTATTTTAACTTGTACCACCAGTCCAGTGTTAAGCCGAATACAGCAAATCATAACGTACATTTACCATCTAAATTGATGCTCACAAACATTTGCTTCGAATCGTAGTGATTTGCCCCTAGCAAGACATTCGGCATCCATGTTCCAAAATTATTACTGTAGGAAGACATGATGTGATAGAAATAAAACTTTTTTACGCTATACTCTGTGTATCAATTAACCCGTATTCCAGGGTTTGGGACGTAGGTACGATCGGGGTCGAGGCTCCCACGCCATCCTCCAATAGTCCGGTGCTGAGTTACAACCGGAGATTGTCCGCCGGGGGTGTACGTTCGTCGCACTCGTTCTGCCTCGGCTCATTGGTCTCCTGCAGCCGGCCACTTCACTCGACAATTTAATAAATCCTCCGCGTCGTTCATTTGTAAACAAAAGTCATTGTTTCGGACTAAACCGGACAGTTTGACGATGGCGACTTGCCTTAGCGGGCGCGCGTGGTGTCATCTCACTATTTGGTGACCTCTTACGAAACTCGAATTTGATAAAAATGAAATTTTGGAAGTGTAGTACTAAAAGAGAACGAAAAGCAGCGGCTATCGGTGAGTGCTATTACTTTCTTTGGTTTAAATAGTTGATAGGTACACGAGTGACAACTCTTTGTGTCCACTAGGTACTGATTGACCAAAGTACGGTCAACGTTTCGGTAAAGTATCGCTTGCAACTAATATGTGTTTGATTGAATAATGTTACTGTAACCTACTTGGTGTTATTAAATTAACCCAGTTTCGGGCTGGTTTGCTGAAACAATATCTGCAATTTGTCTTGATTATGGAGTGCGGAGAAGATACAGTTGTACGCATTGTTAACGAGAAGTCGCTGAACCATCAATTGACTAGTTTAATTGGTAAAGTACCTTGCAATACTGCAGTCATTAGCAAGAGTGCTAATAGTCATAATTTTAAGATTCTAATGTTCTAAGACTAGCAGTAGGTATTAGAAACTGGTGATTTAATCGATACTGACCTTCAAACGTTATAAATGCATAACGAATTCCAGTCATAATAATTTGTACGTGGAAATAATTTACTTAAATAAATATGTACTGGTTGTTAAAATAACGTTTTATTAGAAATCCAAGTCATATTTGCTTAATTTATGTGCTTGTAATATGTAACTTGCACTTTTTAGACTTCCGACACATCATAAACTTTATTGTTCTGTCGCATCTATATTCTATGCGAAAATAGTTCGTTTTTATCCACTAATCTGCAACAAACGCGAAGTTAACAGATAGACTCATCATGTTTTGTTAAACAAGTGTTAAACTGAACATAATGCCTGCATAACATGTTAAACATAACGAAAATAATCTCACAACATTAATGTTTATTCATTGTTCCTATAATCTTATTCCGTAACATGTCGCGTCCATTCTTATTATACTTTTTTAACAATTACATAAAACTGTTTGTAAAATAAAATAATTTATTGTACTTACATACGAATTTTGAAATCGACATTTTTGCTTCCTCGAGAATCTCTTTCCGTTCATTAGTTTATAGCGAACAAACCAATGCGACAAATGTTTTTTATCGTGGCTTCTTTATATACGGAGAATTCTGTGTGAATGTTTTTAATATCTATCACCTTACCTCTTATTTTACATCTCTTACCATAATGTAGGTATTATGGCACCAATATTACCTATTTAGAGAAACAGCTACCTACAGGAAAGGAAACTTGTTTATTAGAAGTCAGCATGATGCCCGCAGACGGTCAGAGCGTGACCGCCAATCTTTATTACTTTGTGGACAGACGAACCTTTCTTTTTTGCTGTTTTAGTTAAGCTCGTTTATTTCGCCAAGGGTAAACAGTTGTGTGGGGGAATTAGGTGTTTATTAAAGTTATCCTCTCAATTCCCAGCAATAAGCGACAAAAATAATAATAAAGTCTTTTTTTTGTTTAAGTCATTCTGATCAATTTAAATCTGAATATGGAGATCTCTACAAGATGACTTCTTATAATACGTCTTTGTCATACCTATAAATTAGCTACCGCTAGTGATAACCTTAGTCAAAAAAGAAAATCCTTAAAGGGGCATTTTAAAAGCTCTCGAACGCTTTTGCGTTTAATAAAAGAATTTTTAGCCACGTGCCAATCGCTTCTATATAATCGTTGCACGTTCGTTTGGGCATATCGATGCTTCTGACGTTTATGGCATGCCAATAAGTAGCTATAGCAGACTCATGCAGGCTGGCGGCAACTCGACTGTATGTCCACAGTGTCCACTACATACATAGACTGGCTCCAGGCTGATTGCTATGCTAGCCACAATCCGCCAACCATCGGCCTTTGTTTGCGTTTCACATTGTCCCATCCTTCCTTTTCGTTCCAACTTTTACTGAATACGAGGCATTGTTTGATTTTCATTAAAATTTCATTGCAGTTTAAAACGGACGGTAGCACTATTTCGACAATCGGGTTGGTCAATATCGTGATAGTTATTAGTTCCTATCAGTATCAATTAAATTACAAACATATGTAGGTTTCCTTCCTGCTAATGTGACTGAGTACAATTTACTTGGTAACTAATTTAATGGGGATAATGATGTACCTACTAGTGATGTAACGAATATTCGCATTCGCATTCGCATTCGCGAATATTCGCAATTTTTTGCATATTCGCATTCGCATTCGCATTCGCAAAATGTTTTGCGAATATGTACTTCTTAGAAAAAAACTATTTTTAAAATAATGGTAGGCTAAAAAATCAAAATCCATTCGTTTATAACCTTTTTATTGCAAGTAAACCTCTTAATCACATTGTCAGTCTTTACTTTATCATTTGGTATTATTTATTTACTTTGGGCAATGAAACTTTAGATATAGGTAGTTAATATAATAGTTTCATAAGAAATAAACATAAATAAACTCTTTAAAGAAACAAAAACTAAACTAGAAACAAAATTAGAAACTTTTATCCAACTTAACATATTTTTTACGTTTAGATAATCATCATCTGTAATAAACAAAATAATGTAATACTTATTGAAACAAAAACTAATTATTCTTCCACAATAAACTTTAAATATACTCTAAATAATTCAAACTAAAAATATTTGATGAGTTCGTATCCACTCGGCAAATCTCGGAACAAAATAGACCCTGCGTTCCGATACGCGCTGAAAACGGCGACAAGTATTGGCTAGTCTGATTCGAAATGCGCCTATAACGGAACGTACCTCGTTCAGTACGAGACTGCCACCAAACCATACAAATGGCGCCAAATTTGAACACAAACTGAATATTCGCATCCGCATTCGCATTCGCGAATGTCGATATCAGATATTCGCATTCGCATTCGCATTCGCGAATGTTCAAAAACACATATTCGTTACATCACTAGTACCTACCACCCATTTAAAAGTTCTGACATCATGATGTCATTATCATGATGGTCCGAAGATTTCCAAAGTAGTGAATTGCCCCTCTATTGCGGATTAATAACCTAATAAATGGTGTCACTGTTGCTGTTTTATAAATAATCCAATATCTTCTTTTCTGCAAACTTCTCGATCCTCATCCAATTCGTGTTGGTTTTCTTTACGATTCTATCATCAAAGATCATAAACGTTTCTACGAAATAAATTAAATTCATCTAATTCACGAGGTTACTACCGCAGTTTGCCGTACCTGTAAGCCCCTATTGTTGGCACAAGTCACATTAACAACTTCTAACTAGGTACTTGATAAGTTCTCTTTGAAAGATCGTAAACCAAATAAACGAACCGAACGGAGCAAACGACGAAATGAGGGCGAGAACTAAAGCAAATAAATAGAACCTATGTTTATTTGATTTCATCTTGTTTTAATATAAAACAGATTTCTAAAAACTGGCCTAAATCAAGTTGTCTAAAGTTTTATTAAGATAACCAGCAGATAGTAAAATATTAGGAAATAGATAACTTCCTCTTTGTGGATTAATTATTAATCCACAAAAATGTACGTTAGTAGATATTCTAAGATAAATATCTAGTCGCCACCTGCATGTTATCTCTGAAGACACCCAGGCATTATTATTAATTTGGGATCCAGGACAATGCCCACGTTATGAATACAATAGTCCGTCCTAGTCGACAATGACCGGTTCTGACGTACTTAGGTACCAGTAAGCATGCCCAGAATTAGACATAACTACATTCCTGCTATGGAAACCAGGATAATAGTGATTGTATTCCAACTACTTTTGTAATGATGAAGTAATAACGGTTTTTTGTTTGGCGCCATAAAGTTTTAGCAAATGGCTTTACTTACGAAAAGTTTTTTCACAAGGACGCTCTCCTATGCCCTCTATATAAAGCACTTAGTTGGTTAGCAAACAAACAAAATGTTCCCCATATGTTAGTATGATTTTAGGTCCATTTACCTAAATGTGAGAATGATTTACGTGATCGTAAACAATGATGCGGTCTACGATGGAGCACGTCGTCCCATAAGCAACCTACTTACTCGGGCCTTGAAGACTCAGTTCAAGTCAAGTTTACGTCAAGTAGGTTCAAGTAACTAAAATTAATGAAACCATCATGTAAAATTAGAATTTTGGATGTCCATCGGTCTACAGTTTATGAAAAAAAAAATACCTATCCACTTCTCTAGAGCTGAGCTTCATAGTTTTAATCCGTGCTCATACGTAAACTATTATTGAATGTACTCCCCGTACGCCCAGGCTAATAAACTTTCGAGCGGTATTTTAGTGCAGACGGCCTAACGAATAATCCAATCAGAGCCCACTTCCTAGACGAGCTTTAAACGGGTGCAAGTACTGAGGTGTCGCCATGTCGACTAACAGGCTATTAATAAACACATAATATGGCCAATTTACTCTGAGTATGGATATTCCAAGCTTAATCATCATCATATCATCTACTGCTGAACTAAGGCCTCCAAGAAGGTCAAGGTCTTGAAAGGCCACTGACTCAAATCAGCTGGATGGAAGCAATCTGCATCCTGCTATTCCTAATTCCGTCAGAAATTCATAACTGGCGAAGTGGTTAAGCGATCGTCTACTGTGTTCCGGGCTAGTTAGCTGAGCACGGAACAAAATATTGATATGATTTGTAGATTCATTCCGTATGTGAATATGCTGTTTTAATTGTGTTGTAAACCTGAAATCTTGGCGCAAAGAAACATACCAAAAAGATACT